TGGTTGATGCCCCTCATAGCTGTGTGAGTTTGTCACTTCCTTTTGCACCTCATGTTTCTCATCTGTTAAATGGGCATGACAATACTAAGCTGTGGAAGTACCAGGGCTGTGGAAGCTGGCAGAAGCAGGGTCTGCTTTACATCCAAAGGAATTTCCAGACTTAAAAAGAGGAAACTGGGAGGTTTCTACCATGGAAGCGGGTGGGACAGCCTGGATTTGCAGGGGCCATGAAGGTTAGAGTGGTGGGAAGGAACAGAGGCACTTCTGGGGGCAGGCTGATGGTGGAATGTGTTCCAGACTTCTCAGCATGCACAGGCCTGCCAAGGAAGGCTTCAGAGGCCCAAACAAAGCTGGGAGCTGCCAGCAGCAGAGGCGAGCCTCTGTAAGCCTTGGGCAGCCCCCTCCTGGGGCACTGGCTCCCCACCTAGGTGCAGCCCCTCCCCCCCACACGTGCTGCCAAGCCTTCCATTAGTCACCCTGGCGCTGACACACATAAATCCCATTAGTCACACGGCACAAACCAGCTTGCAGAACACACCCAGGCGCACCCAGACAAAGGAGGCCCCCAGAGAGGCCTTGTTTGTCCCTCCTGTGTCTTTCCAGTGCCTAGAACAGTGTGGGCACCCCAGGCCTCAAGAAGCACGTGGTCAGCCTCCTCCAATGCAGCCATCCCCCCTCCACCGCCGACCACCAAGCACTACCAGCCCCCCCAACCTTCCCTGTGCCCTCTGGGCACACAATTGCCACAGAAAATGCTCAATGCCCTTGGCTTCTTTCTGGAGGGGGCACGGCTGGCATTGCGTCTCCCTCCCCATGACTCTCCTCAGACAGGTCTAGCAGGAAAACCATTCCCCAAGGTCAGCAGAGCTCTTCAGGCGGCCCACGGTAACTGATTTATTGGCGGTTTATTTGGAGAAACGCTATCGCTCTTGGATTCCGAGGGGAAAAAAAAAAAACAAAAAAAACCGCCCGCGGTGGACTTTAACCTTGGGCTGAAACCGCAGCGCTTTGTTTTCTGAGGCGCTTCCTGGGGCGCCGCGTTGGGCAGGGGCCGAGGGGGAGGCACGGTCGGAATGTGGCTCTGCAGCCTCTCCACTCCCAGGGTGCGCCCCTGCCACGGGGTGGGCGCTCAAATTCCTCTGGGCCCGGCCGGAAGCCCTAAGTCCCTCCAAACGTGCTTCTAGACCTCCTAGGAAGGAACCGAAGCTGCTGGGAGCGAGGTTTACAAACCCTCCGCCCTCGGCATCTGCCCCGGGCCGCTGCAGTCCGGCCACTGGCACGGCAGGGGGAGGCACCCGGGAGGGGGTGAGCGCCTCCCCCTTCCGCGGTCGTCCCGGCCAGAGTCCCGAGCAAAGACTATTCGGTGGTGCACGGGGGCCGGCTATGGCCATAAATCTCCGTGCGGGCCCCCCTTTCCGCTTCTCCCTGATTGCGCTCACAGCCTGCTCCGCTGATGCACGGCAGCAGCGTGAAGGCCTGTTCCCCGCCCTTCTGGCAAGGAGACAGACAATGCTGGTGACAATTAGGCGTCATTATTGCAAATGCACCTTCTTTGGGTCTGCCCCCCGGGCGCCCCATGACTATTCGAGTAGAAAGACTGCCGCCTCTGCCAGGCCGTGCCTCTAGTGCCCGACCGATTCCTGCTTCTGCGATGGTTCCGCTATTTGCGCCAAAGCGGGCGGCCGACAAGGGCGTCGAGCTGGGGCCAGCAGGCAAAAAGCCCAGGGTGTCCCCGGCATGGAAGGGAAGATGGGCTGGCGCGGGATGGGGAGCTATATTTAGCTCTCGTCTCTGCAGACACCCCACTTGGTCTTCGCTTTGAAAAAAAAAAAAATCCCTCCCCATCGTGCGCCCAGAGGTCCCCGAAGGCAGAAGAGAGCGTCGGGATTGTGGCAGGGTCTGCGGGAAAGGGTGTTAGGCTGCAGTTGTCAGAAGCCTCTCTCTGACCCTTAGACTGGCGCGGGCAGCGCCCAGAGTTGGGCTCAGGCGGAGGTGGGGGTGGGGGGCGGCTGTGCGCTCATCTCAGCTTCACCGAGCCTTCCTAGGAGTAAGTCCTCGGCCTGGGTGCCGCCGTCCCAGGCGGCGATGAGGCCCGGGCCGCTTCGGAGTCCAGAGACCGCGGGTATGGAAGGTGGTGGCACCGAATGGGCGAGGCCGTTCCCGCTCTTTGGAGAATGAGGAGAAGCTCCTGGCTTGGCTCCCTACGCAGTGTCGCGGGGGGGAGTTCCCCAGGCCGTGCAGAGGACAGCAGGGCGCCGGGTGCGGGCGGGACTCTAGGCCGGCCGGGAGCCCAGCGCAGAGCGGGAAGGAGGGCCTGCGCAGAGATTTATGGCCATAGCCGGCCCCCTGTGCACCGGGCGCGTCCTGTCTCCGTCTTCTCCGCTCCAAACAGTGGAGTGGAAGACCCGACCCGGGCCGGGGGAAGAGGCCAGGGCCGGAGGCGGAGCCCAGAGGCGCCGCGATCCACCCGCCGGGGCCGGGCCTGGCGCTTCAGCCCGGCTCTGCTCGCAGTGTGCCCTGGTGTCTGCAGACTCTGGGACTGTAGCGTCGTGTCCTCGATCCTCCTGGAGGATCAGAACCACTCTCGGCTGGGCTGGCCGAATCTCGGCTCGGCGCCGAATTGTGGCCCGGCCAATCGCAGCAAGGAGATGGCGAGCATGGCTGTCTCGGGCGCAGCCTCCGGGTTTTGGCGGCGCCCGGGAGGGGAGCTCCCTGGCTGCCGGACCTGGACCTGAGAAGTGGCTCTTAAAAGACACGGCCCAGAGCGGCAGCCACGTCTGGAGAACTAGGGCCCCTTACACCGAGAGGCTGGCGTGGCGCGCGACTTCGGTCCCCACCGGAAAAGCGCTTTGGGGGGGACGGGTGGAGGTGGTGTCCCAGGTGTCCTCGCCTAGGAAAGATGAGGTTCTTTTTTGGGAGAAGGAAAGGGGACAAAGTCCACGCAGCTAACACCCAGGTTCCGGAAAGCGCCGGGTTCGATCCTGAACGGGCCAGAAATTGACCAAGGCGCGGGGACTGAGCCCCGTGACAGAGGCGAGGTCGGGAGAGCCGGGCTCAAGGTTGACTTTGTCCTTTAGTTTTAAAACAAAGGGGAAATACTTTGTCAGTCGGGCCGCGTCCACGGAGCGGAGGCCTAGGCGCATACCGAAGGGCTCGGCTCTGGTGGCCCAAGCTGGCCGCTGACAAAAGCACTGGCGTGGGCAGGTTCTCCGAGAACTGAGGTTTGGGGTTGACAGGAAGTACTCCCTCCAGGCGATTTTCCGCCCAGTCGGTACAAAACACAACGTATACACACTGCGTTAACACAATCTTTTCGGCCACAGATCTCGACGGGGTAAACAGATGTGGGGGGAGGGGAGGGAAGATGGCGGCGGGAGCGCGCGGACTGCGAGCCCCACTGTCACCCGCGCCGGGCGCCCAGACCTGCCTTTTACAGTAAAATGTGGCCCACCAGGGCGGGGAGGGCGTTGCTCCAGACCCCGAGCTCTGCAAGAGATGCCTCGGAGGCGCCCTACGAATCGCGGGGGTCTCGGAAGGAGCCGAGCTGCGTCCACCCCTCGGCTTGGCAACGCATCCGTCCCCCTGCCCTAAGATGGCTCCCGGCCGCTGTACACCCAGTGACTGCGGGGACACCCGGACGCGGTCAAAGATCAAGGCGCGCGCACAGGTCGGCCAGCTCCTCGGCGTGGCCCACTCGCGTCACGTACGCCAGACCCGCGCGGGCAGGATATGTCCTGTGCACCCCGCGGCCGGGAGCCCGAGCCGCCGCCGTATCCCCAGGCCCGGAGTCCTGGTCGAGCTCCCCCGGCGTCAGGGCCTCGCGGCGACTCGCGCGGGTCCCTGTGCGATGAGGGCGGCGAGACGGGGTTAGGGCCCACAAAGGCCCGGGAGGAGGGGGCTGGGGAAGGGGGCCTTTTCTGCTTCGAACTGCGACCCTAATGAAATGCAGTCTCGGTTCGCCACGCCGACAAGGCACACACTCGGAAAATGCAAACGCCATTGGCAAATCCAGGGCAAACAGGCAGAATTTTTATTAGCAACTAAATGATTTATGGCACATATACCCCGCCGTCACAATTACGGCGTCTTGGAATATCCAGGAGTGAAAACATTAAACATTTATAAAAATAGGCTTTTGTTTTTTTCCACCCCGCAAGCTCTTTGTATTCCCCATCCCAACGGTCTCAAGATACTTTTTTTTTCTTGAGCTATATTAAAGGAAAACATTCCAGATCCAGGGCGGGGATGAGGGGGTGAGGGAGCAGGGTCTGGCCCCGAATATTGGAGGGCAACCAGGGGGTGGGAAAACGACAGGGACTCGGGCGTGGGAGGGTTTACTAGGAACCCACAAAGGCTTCTGGATGAGACTCGAGGATTCTTGGCGCCCACCAGGGCTGCGCCCCCACGTACGGCCCCTTCCCCTGCGTTGCCTTCCAGCAGCCCCGCGCAGCTCAACTGCATTTATTTGATTTCTGCAGTCACTCCTCCTCCCCCAAGGCACATAGACACAATACCTCCTTTTTCTAACCCCCTCTCCTCTCCATCTTTGCTCCTGGCCGTCCCGGGGCTGCACCGGGAGCCTCCCGCCGCCCCGGCCGCCACTGAGACCTGCGCGCCCAGCTCCAAAGCGCGGACACCGCAGCTCGTTCCCCTCGGCTCCAGCTATTTTCGTTCTTTCTCCCTCCTCCCCCCTCCCCCATGCGGAGCTCCAGCTTCCAAAAGAGGGCAGCCTCGAAACCAGCGCAGGAGGATCCACGAAGGGCAACTTGAAACTGCCCTCAAGAGGCTGAACTTTTTTCCCTCAAATTTATACTGGAATTAAATTAGACACCCAGTTCGCTCTCTCCAAGCCTACCCCCTTTTTTTCTAAAAGAGGAGAAAATAAAATAGAACGAAAGGGCGCTAACTAGTTCACTTTTTCCCCTTCCAGAAAAGTTGCCTAAAAATGGATTTAAAAAATAGAACGATTGCTGTGAAAATGCTGAGTCCGCAGCGCAGGGTGAAAGAGCGGGCTTCTCGTATTTTAATTAAAATCTAATCACTGCGGTTGCTCTCCGAGGTAGAATCGGCAAGGACTTCTGCCCCACCAAGCTTCCTTTTGAGAGTACGTAATGCCGCGCTGGGCACCGGTCCTTGCAGGGCTGCGGAGAGAGGGTGCGCGGCCTCCAGGGCGGCCCCTCAGAGCACTTCCGCAGCCAAGTAGGTTGCCGCGGGCAGCTCCCGGCGATTCAACCCAGAAAGGATTTTGCTGAAAGCGCAAAATAAAAGTACAAAGTCTGGGAGATTGGGGCTCCCCTCCCCCTACAGCCGCAGCGGCCAGCCAAGCACTTTTTGGGCTTGGCTGCTGCTTCCTCTGAGCTCAACAGATTTTTTTTTCCCGGTCTCGCCCTCCCTGGAGGGGGCGCGGCGGGTGGGAGGCGAGAGAGGCCCCCAGCCAAGAGGTTTTTAATATTACACTTTAATAGGTTTCAGAAGGCCCCGTGGAGAAATGCTAATAGGCTGAAATGTCAGAATCGAAAGGGAGTCAGTTCGCGCTCAGCCGCTCTAATCCTTTTTTCTGCTCCGATTTTTTTTGAGGGGGAGAGAGAAGAGGAGGGGAGCGCCCACGCAAGAGAGGCTTTGGGCAAGGGCGCGCGGTGCAAAGCGCCGCAGCCGAGACCGAACGGTGGGCGCACCCCGGCCCGCGTTTCTATAGGAACCCCTAATAGAAGATTAGAGACTCACCCGCTGCCCGCCGCCGCGGCCTCTGCAAAATATTAATCAGTAACCATCTGACACCGCGTTTCAGAGAGGGACCGACAGGCGGGGGCTAGGAAAACGGCCTTCTCGCTTGCCCATTCCACCCAACCGCGCCGCTGGGGGAGAGGGAATGAATCGCTGCTTTGTTTTAAAGGAGGGGGGAGGGAGAGAAAAAGCAGCCCTTGTCCGTTTTGGCGTCTCCACCGCGCGATCTAGAAGGCGCACCCCAGGGGAGGTGGGAGGCTGGGGTCCAGGCGCGGGGTGCAGCCCGCGGGGCCCCAAGCTCTTCCCGGCTCGCTCGGCTTGTCACCTCTTCCTGCGAGCAGGAAGCTGACAGGCGGCCCATTAAACCGCGCCTTGCAAAGCCCTGGATTGCGGCGACAACCATCTTCCTCTATTTTGATCACTCAGCCCAGACGCGGGGGGAGGAGGGAGGAATAGGCGGGGGAGGAGGGAGGAAAAGGGAGGAGAAGGAGGAAAGGGGGGGGTCCGAGTTAGTGAAGGGGGAGGGCTGCCTAGAAACGGCCGGGAAAAATTCTCACCACCAGTTTAGATCATTCAGCCCCGCCGAGGGGAGCCTGGAAACTGCTGGAGCCCCTAGGTCCGTAATTGGTTTTATAGGAATGGCTGAGGGCCAAGGTGTTTACATGCGCGTGATTGGCGGTGCGCGGGGCCAATGGGTGGCGGCCGAGGGCTGTCCCGGGGGAGGCGGGCGCCCGGGAACAATGCGTGTTTCTTTACGGAGAGTGCTCCCTTCCCCCCGCCGCCCCCTCCCCCCCCCGCTGGCCTTTTTTTTTTTTTTTTTTTTTTTTAGACCCCGCGGGGGGAA